TGAAGATAAATAGGTAGATTTGAGTTAATCAGAAACAAAACCAAATAAATAAGATATTTCGGATTTTTTAACATGATTAATAAACTTATTAGCATAACCCACATAAAAACACAGTTCAAGTTACTTCTATTCAACTATTTATGTCTCATTTTCCGAATTCCTTTAGCAATTCAATTAAAAAATAAGTAAAGAATAGACTTGCAAATGTTTAAGACACAACAATAATTTCTTAACAATTCCAACGCCTGAAAATTATTTCCAACGATCTACTTCGCCGCCAGATATACAATTATCTAATAAAGAAACTCATAGGTGAAATAGCAGGCATTTTTGTATTTTAAATCGACATAAATTGGGAAAAGTAAAGAGATATTTGGACACTTGCCATTTCTATGATAATATTTTGTTGTACTGTGCTTAGCGTACAATCTGATAATACTGGACGCTTTAAATGATATAGGAAGAGAAGTAAGAAAAGTACCTACTTGATAAACAGAAAGTAAGATGCAGCTGAGTCACTTCATTATCTCCTGTTTCAACTAAGTCTTGATACTCCCCCTTTTATAGAATATCGAAATCGATGTATATATTGTAACGCTTTACTGCCACTGCGTTGTAAAAACCGAGGGTTTATTGTGTGAGAACGTTTTGTTGTAACATATAATGGTAAGTCGTTCGTGTATATTTTTGTTCTACTGATGTTTGAATTAGCTAAAACACTTCTAGTAAATCGGCAATCGAATATTTAAAGTTAAGCATGAAACGTTTCGAAGTTACCCCATCTCACCATCTTAAACTATACAACTTATATTATCAGGCGATTAAATAAAAACATCTATTCAAACTGGAATATAAAACATAGAATATGGTACTTTTTTCTGACTAGAAAAGTATATCACATGTTTTAGAACTATTTCTCGACTTTCGGTACATTAGCCCACTGTTGTTTTTTCCGAACATGGTGTTTCTTGTTTGATTTTGTAAAAATAAGATAATACTTATACTTCGACATTAATATGACTAACTTTGCAAGGTGATATATGTATATATGATTACAACTATATTAAATGCTTGTAAAACTGGTGTATATATATATATATATAGTATTATTTTTATACAATAAAAATGCAAGACATGCCTATCAATGAAAAATATTTTCTTGAATTTAAAAAGATTCGAGGTTGACATTAGTTCTAATATCATAATCAGCTAAAGGTCAACAAAGAAATAAGATAAAAAGACATTACCATAAACTCCAGAACAAGGATATATTTATTTCACTCGGCGTTTCTTTTCTACAAATTATCCAAGAACGATCTACAATCTACACTGTTAGACTCACAATTCGTAGCAAACTATAAAACATCTTGTGCGTTTCTCGACAAATTTATTCAACGCGTAAGCCCCCAGTGGCACAGCGATATATCTGCAGACTTACAACGCTAAAAACCGGGTTTCGATACCCGTGGTGGGCAGAGCACCCCGTGTAAGGCTGGTCACTGAACTTGAAAAAAGGAACCAAACAAGATAGGGATGGAAGTGGACATATCACTTGATAGAACTAATGATCACATAGCAGACTAAGCCGTCTCGACTTTACATGGAGAATAAAATCCCTTCATTACCGACTTCATTGTCAAAAAGAGTAACCAATTTTTAGTAGTTATATATCTGTCAATTTCATTTGTGAGAGGATCTATCTCCCAGCATTGTCGCCT